AGCCTTGCTACCGTCGATCGGGTGGCTACCCGTGTCATACCGACAGGCGTCTGGAAATCGTATCACGTTCTCAGGCTGCAGCTTGCTAGTGTGCACCATCGTAGTCAACCGTTTCGCCTCCGTGACACCTCCTCCGAATTGAATCTGCTTCCCCACCATGCATGTTTGCTTCCATTCTGATTTTTTGTCTTGACATCAATCTGTTACCTTGGTGGTTTTCTTCTCATCCTGTTCGGTCTTCGTTGTTTGTTATCTGCGGGCCCTTGAACCTTGCCGTGTTTCGGCCTCCGCTGATCTGCGTCCGTCATCCACTTCTTGTTTCTAACCGTTAGTTCGTAATTGACTCCACCATTTCTGTCCAACACCGATTCTGTCGACCACCTCCTCGGTCGTCGGAAATCTCTCACGTACTTCATATCACCAGTTTTGAAAAGATTGACCCAGTCTGCTTGGTTTTTCTCCGTATGCCACCGTCTCGTCTTTGGACTATCTGCCATGTGGTTTTCGGAGCTAGGGTGAAACGTAAATTGGAAATCATAGTTCAGTAAACGCGCATACCAGAGGTTAATCCGCAGTGGCTTGTGACTATTGGGTCCTCGACCAAGGTGGGTAGTTGGGGAAGCGTGGTCTGTACGCAATGTAAACTCCCGAGCAGACAGGAATAGGTGCCATTTTTCACCGGACCAGACACGGGCGAGGGCCTCCCTTTCACCGGCGGAGTATGAAACCTCTGTAGGGGATAATGTTCTAAAGTCATATGCTATCATGTTTTCCTCTCCGTTCTGCATCTGCGACAGGACCGATCCTAAACCGATATTTGACGCATCCGTCGAGACGAACGTAGGACAAGTTTCATCGAAAATGGCCAGCATTAGTGTAGAGAAGAGGCGTCTTTCAATTACTTCAAAGGTAGACTGCTGTTCAGAGTCCCAGTCGAAGGTGGCATTTTCCTTTGTCAGCATTCTCAAGGGCTCCGCTAGGGTAGCAAAATTGGGCAAATAACGTAAGTTGTACGAGCATAGACCAAGAAAATGCTTAACCTCAGATGCATTCTTCGGTATGGGGGCTTCTGTGATAGCCCGAGTATTAGCGGCGCATGGTCGGATTCCACCGGATGATAAGATGTACCCAAGGAATTCGACTTCAGTAGCAAAAATGTTCACTTTTCAAGATTAAGCGGGTGGTCTAGGCTCTCCAACCGGTGTAATACAGCGAATAGCCTTGAATCGTGCTCTTCTCTTGAAGTCCCGAAAACGCAAATATCATCCATGTAAGCGATTTGTCCCGGTAGGTCTGCTAATGAGTGATTCATGAACTTCTGCTAAGCTGAGGGAGCAGTGCTGGGCCCCATTGGCAAAACTTTATACTGGAACAGACCGTTCGATGTCAGAAAGTCGTTAGTGGTCTCGATTCTGGTGTCCATGGCATGTGGGAAAAAACCATTTTCAGGTCTAATTTTGAGAAAAATCTTGCTCCAGTTATAGTGACTAGCAACTCATCAACTGTGGGAAGAGCAAACTTTTCGATGACGATCTGAATATTCAAAACCTTCAAGTCATTGCATATGCGCATCCGTCCATCTATAAAATCGTGACCAAGGGATGCACTCATTCGTAACAGTTAGTTGGCTCTACCAGATCGTTCGATACCAACTCCTGTATGGCTTTTGCTACTTTCGCACGTTTCGCCAACAGAATAGGACGTGGCTGCGATATTGCAAACGGCTTATTGTCCTGTTTAAGGCAGATGCGTTGAGTAGCAGATGGAATCCGACAAGCGTCTCAGTAAAGAATTTGGGACATAAACCTTTAATCACTGATGCAATGAGTGCCATGATACGCATTCGAGCGATAGACGGCGTTGTGTTAAGAGCGACCATAGCATTTCACCCCAGCAAGGCTGGGCTGTCTTCAGATGCCACGTACACAGCAACGTCGGAGACGACCGACTGTAGACTAAGTTTCGTCACTATATATCCACGGATACACACAGGGGCATTCGTGTAAGAGTCAAACTTGTACGAAGTGGGATGCAATGGAATGTCATGCAAGTACTTGTCAAAGACTAGATGGAATGATTGTTATTGGCGATGAAGAATCCAATTCCATCGCAACTGGGACAGTGATTTGGGGGCCATGGAGCATAACTAAACGAATGTCAGGGGAAGGGAGCTTGGGCTACATCAAGAATGTTTACCGATTGTCTGGCTGATGAGATTTTCTGACGGCAAAAATATTTTCCGTAGAAGACGCAGAAGGAGACTCAGTCGATGGTTGTTCAACTAGCGCTACTCGGCGGAAGCGAAAACACCGGGAGAAATGGCCCCGATTGCCACAGTTTTCGCAATCGACTGTACAGGCCGGACACGTTTGGTAATCTGCTTAGTGTCGAGAAGTTTCACATGGAAAGCACAAAGTAGTCACTTTCTGAGATGGCGTAGAATTCGTGCTCCGATGCTTGTTGATATGGAGTGATTCTTTGGTGCTGTACAGACGTGACTGTTCAAGGGCAGTTGTTTTGAGCCTAGCGATCTCCATGGCTCTATCCCAGGAAAGCTTCGAGGGGTCTTCCAGTACTAGTGGTATGCGATGATCCGTGCTGCCGAATATTAATTGTTGTGTCAACACAACAACCTCAACTCTATTATTTGGAATGCTGGAGTAAACGCATGATTTTACCGAACGGATCAAGCGGGAAACATTGTTCCAGGGGCTCTGAGTCCTCTTGTCTCAAACGGCAGAAGTTGTAGCGTTCAGTAAAGACATTAGCTCGGGTGCCCCAAGATCCATCCAGTACATTTAACGCCTTTGTGAATGTCCACATTTGTAGTTCCCGTGCATCAAGGTAACGCTGACCCTCATTTCCTAATGAGTGACGGAGAAGTTTCAACTTTTGGGTCTCATTGTAAATAGCAGTTGGCGGTGGTAACTCCAAGTAATTTGTAAAAGCTGTTTTCCATTGAGCCCAGTCGCTCTCAGTAGATTTGACACTTGAATCGTACCAGAATGCGTCCCGAGGTGGAAGATGGAATGCCATTGTAGCAGTTCGCAGCCGCAACGCCAGTGTTGTGCTCTAATACGCACACCAAGCTCCTACGCAAGTAGAGTCTCGAATCACTACGGTCAGAGTCAACTAACGGAAACAGAACATGGAGCGAACA